GGTGGGCCAGAGGGACATCGGACTGGAAGGAAGGGACGATAGTCTTAGCGTCAAGTTGCGGGTCGAGGGCTGGAAGACTAGACATGGAGAGTCTGGTAGTATTAACTGCACGCGTGGTTTACTTGTTATATGAGGCACTAGAACAAAGAATAGACGAGGAGCCGATCTGAGCTTGGAGGTGATATATAGGAGCTCCATCGGGTCTAAAGTCATAGTTATTGCGATACTAATAACGGTTCAGAGAACAGAACGTTACAGTCGGTAACTACAATGCTAGTGCCAGTAGTCCAGCGTCCCCCCTGTTCTGTTCCCAATCCATCTCAAAAGGTTGGCAAACATGCACCCTGGTCGCAAAGTGGACTCTGGAGTACTAGCACTTCAGCCTTTTTGGACTCGCGATCGGGCGATGGCGTGCGTACGTTTGCTCCGCAGCGGAAGCTGATTGTCCAGTTCTGCAACGGGCGAGCGCGGTCTTTCTGTACTGGACGCATGTTGTAAGTTCATGTTGGGTATGATTGCAAAATTCAAGGCATTGGCACAACGAGGGCGAGGACTGTTCATGATTGCGCATGTATTTTTATCATTTGTGTTGTCTTTTCGCCTCTGGTATGTATGCAAGCGAATGTCTCATTCTGCATCACAGCCATGTTGAGATTGCTGAGCTGAGCACAGCCCGCTCATTAGATCTGGATCAATTCATCAATTGATGTCAGGAACCGCGCAAGTGCTCGCTCCTTCCTGCCCCTGTCGGCTGCATAATCTGTGTATCGGTGGCGTCTCGTATCACCTGCAGCTGACAACGACAACTTGACACCAAAACAATACTATCCCAGAGAGCCCTCAGCACAATAGATTCGAATTACCTGACCTGTAACTTCTCACAAGTACGGAGTACGGAGTACAATACTACATAATACTATGCCTTCTTCTGGGCCTCGACCACCTCGCTTCGCCGCTTCATCCACGATTGCCCCTGGCTCGTCACCGAGTCGTGTATTTTCCAGGCACGTCCTTCAGGGATCTACAGAGCACTTACTCCGTTGTGCATACATGTTCATCCCTTTGACTGCGGTAAGGTCCAACTTTTGTAGCCTGCAGGGGTTCTGGCCAATAAGAAGACTTATATTAAAAGGTATAGAGCTCCGCTAAGAAATAATATAATAATAAAAGTACTGGTATAGTCTTTATGTATAAAAAGATACTTTAATATCAGCGTAACTATTTGCACTAAAAGAGTACTCCGTACCTGTTAGGTACTACAGAAAGGTGGGTCCGATACTTTACTTGGACCTTAACCGCAGTCAAAGGTATGTACATACATAAACGATTGATCAGGCCTGTTTCGGTTGAACAAGATGTTTTAGCGCTCAGGACCTCCTGGCTGCGACGCTAGCAGCTGTGGCCACACTTTACCACAGCCCATGCCATTGCCGCCGTGACGATGTCAAGGTTGGCTCTAACGTTGGCTCTTTTCCTCCGGCACCTGTCGGTCCTTTCTGCTTGGCTGCCCTTTTGCAGAGCTCGGAATCTATCAGAGCTCTTGGCTCGACTAAACTATTGATTGATCTCCATTGGACGACGGCTGCACGGCCATGGCCAAAAAAAGGGAAGCAAGGGGCAAGACTCAAGAGTCTCTGCAGAACATGACCAGGGCCAGGTAAGGGGCCACCAAATTAACTTGTCTCTGCTGCGCCATGACTAACCAGACTACGGAGTACCAGCAAAAACTATTACACAATACATGTGTTTGCATACCGTGCCCTTCCTCCTCTATTGTACTCCGTACTCTACGGAACACAGCCGATCCCTCGCGTCAGACGCCCAACGTTTTTGGCAGGAGAGCTTCTTCTTCTTCTTCTTCTCTTCTTTGCCCGTGGGTTTTATTGTCGTATTGCGGTACTCCGTAGATGCGGACAAAGGTAGACGCCATCTTGGCCATCTGAGATCTCAGCTGACAAAAAATAGCCTCAAGGGATACTACGGAGTATGTATGCGTTCTTTCTTGCATTGAAACTACATTGTACTCCACGTTCTTCACCCAGCCTCGTGCTTCAATCAGATCCACCGGGGCGGTAACCTCTTGCCACTCGCTACTATCATCAGCCACCATGTTGGACACCAGACGACCCCAGTGTCTGTGCTGCCAACTAAGGCACTTCAGCTTTTGAGTGCTCGAGCACGCCAGGATTTGAGCCCTCTTGTGCTTGGCAAAGCCATCCCATGGCATCAAGACCTGGAGGTTTCTCCCAGGGCCCCCTGCAGCCTCTCACACTAAGTTGGCCAGGTCCCGCAAGAAATAGCGGTTTTTGTCCATTTCCCGTCCTTGAAAAACCCATATCCAGTCCATCAATTGATCCCACTTTACGTCATAGGGACTCATGCCGAGACCCTTCATGCCAGTTGCGGTACAACATCGTGAGGGTCCCACCGTCTGTTCCAAACTTTGGGAGGCTGGGCATCGTGGCACTTGTGGGTACGCGCCGATGGTCAATAAAACATGTCCAAGCTGTCACCGCGCTTCGTTCTGAGTGCTATCTACGGAGTAGGGAATATAAGACCTTCCAGCGCCGGCGAGTCCTAAAAGAGATTTCTGGCTGAAAGGCACTGAACATGATTCCACTGACAGAACTCTCTACACAGTTAGTTGGGATCAGCTATTCCAAATACCATCCGTTAAAAAAAAATCTACCTGGAATATTCGTCTCTGATTCTCTGTCGGGCCTTTTCACGGGACACATTTCCAGTCACCTTGTATGCGTGACCTCTGCAGCAGTATTCAGTTGTAACACCAGAATCGACAGATTTGCCAATTAATGATCCATCTGCGAATGTCAAAACATTACTCTGCACAAGTAGTACTACGCAGATCCTGCTCCAGGCTCGGATCAGGACATGATCAAGAGCCGCGCAGCCGCGACTTTGAAAATATGAGGAAAGCAGCAGATGGATCAAGATTTGTATACACACTACGTTTAGTCGCCAGGAGCATCTTCGATACTAGTTCGGTTATTTTTACTCTTGCGTTCAGACTTTACCAATAAAACCGTCCGTGTCATCATCGTTTCCTTAGGTCCTGCTGTTTCAGACCCTTTGATCATGACACTTCCAGCAGCACCTCGGGCCGCTTTCTAAGGCCAACAGGCCATACCCGTCTCGCCAAAATCTAAATCTAGGACGGTGGCCATGTATACCGTAGTCGATGAAGCTCAACTTTAGTTCATATCTATCTCAAATGATTCGTTCTACTTCCTCCGCCTCTCGTCGCCTAACATGTGCTGGGACCCTGCTGTTTTCAATGAGGTGTATGCGGGAGTAGCACGGCAAGAAATTCAGATACTCTTTATTACTATTTTAGTTGCTGCTTGATGGGAAACTGCTCAAAGTTAATCACATTCATGGCTACCGGAGAGTATTCCACGTGTGTTGATCAAACAAGCACCGCCTGTGGAATATAGTCTACCTACACAGCTGTTGACATTGCACTAAGTGACATTACAATGCACTGAGACTGGGCAGTGAGACATAGATTCTTGAACTCCAGTATGGAGTAATTTTTATAATCATTATTTTCGGCAGATCCCGCTACAACTGCTGAAAATACGTGATCGCGGTCATGGTATACAACTCACGACGATCCACACGAACGAGTCGATTTAGACTTCATGGCGCTTCAACCGTCATATCACCGGGAACTGGCCTCCCTTCCAGACCAGACCGGGACGGCGTTTTATGGTCTGGGTATTTCGGCCCAAGCCGCAGCTCTATCCAAAACTTTGGCATCCAAGCTCTGCGCATCCCGTATGTCTTGTCGCACATGATGCCACAAATCAACAAAGCTCTGCCTGACTTCCGAGCTGTCTCTCATGGCGGGAACCAGCACCAGGGTCCGCAGGAAATTCCACACCGACTCTCCGCGCCAGGTGTAAGTCTGCACCAGCCTTGCCGTTTGCCTGAATATCTCCTGGGCGTGCTGTGGGGATCCGAGTGCGAGATGCAGCAAAAACGACCAGCCTGATATGTCGTCATGGTGAAGGCGACACCATTTGGCTGTCATTCTCATAAGCTCTTCGTCTTGCTCCGCGTCCCAGTCTGGCTTGACTTTGGCTCTGGAGACGAACAAGTCCCTCGCATATGTCCATGCGTAGTAGTTTTTGGGGTGTCTTTCTGCTGCAACGAAAACCACGCTTTCGAAGTCGTGCATCAGGTCTATGGGCACCTTTGCTTCCAGGTATTGCCGTAGAAGCCAGTGTTTGTGGCCCCATAATACGGGCGATTTCGTATGCCGATGAAGGTGGCTTGAGAGTAAACTGTTCACAAAGTACATTTCCCTTCCAAGCTCTGCTTTCCGCTCACACGCTGCGAGTGTCTGCCGCAAGAGTAGTCGCTTTCTCGTGTTGGCGGCCGTGAGATGCTCAGAGTCCATGAGTAACATGACGCTGGTTGCTTTCCGTACATCATCCGTGCATATGCTGCCTGACTTGTTCAGATGGCTCATGAGTATTCGGCGAGCCGCTGTGAATGCTTGGATGAGCCTAAGTTTGGGTATCGCGAGGCAATGTTCCTCCTTGACAAAGTAGGCATTCTTGAGGTCTGTTTCAAACCCCTTGGGCAAGAGTTCTATGTCGATGTATGGGTGGTATGTTTGTGAGAGCTCATGGGAGATGGCGTCATATACTTTCTTCGGATCCTCATTTTGTGACCCACGCCTCAAACTGCCGTCGATGGCACTCGACATTTCGAAACCTGAACAAGAAAAATCGTGGAATGCTGGCAACATCAACTGGATGTATAGGGTAAGGTGGGATGGGTGGACCAAGGTTATTGCTCATATGGGCTTGTTCCGGAAATGCAATCTACCGGGGGTCACTGGTAGCGGAACTGCAGGTGCTTTTTGGCCACAAGAGCAGCGCAGCTGGAACCACGAGACGTAACCCTACGACGACTCGATCCATCCCAACACGACAGGAACGAGTCCTGTTCGATTGGATTTGGGGAAAAAAATGACGACCATTCTGTTCCTCATATTTGCCGTCGAGGTGTTGGCCCAGTTCATCACCGCTGTGGGCGCGGCACAGATCAACAATCTGGTAAGTTTGGTGGCCAAATCGCAATAGGAAACAGCATAATGACACCGTGATAGATCTGGACCTTGATCAACTACCTCCCCGTCTCGACGTCCAAAGCCGCCGCCGAGCAGCGCAAGCTCCAGGCCGAATATCTCAAAGTACGGCGGGACTTGAACGCCACGAGTAGCCAGGACGAGTTTGCGAAATGGGCCAAGCTGCGAAGGCAGCACGATAAGCTGCTTGAGAAGCTCGATGCATCCAGTACGTACAAAGAAGATAAAAAATAATAATATGACGAGCCGGGTATATGGAGACAAGTGCTAATCATGTTTTGGCCCGCAGAGAAAGCAATGGAAGCCTCCCGAGCCCGGTTCGACAACTACCTCACGGCGATACGGATGCTCATCACCAAAATACCCCAATACTTCATCCCCTTCTGGTACGGCAAGGAGCCCATGTTCTGGCTGCCCTACGGCTGGTTCCCATACTACGCCGAATGGATCATTTCCTTTCCCCGCGCGCCCATGGGCAGCGTCAGCGCTCCGTCATGGCAGCTGGCTTGCTCTGGGGTGATTACCCTCCTCGCCGAGATCCTCATGTTTGCCGGCAGGCAAATCTCTGCACAGCCGAAGACCAAAGTGGCACAGCCAGGGGAGAAGGCCACGAAGCCTGGAAAACAAACTGCGGAGAAGTCAGAGGAAAAGAAGGAATTGTAGATTGTGCATAAAACTAAAACTTTTTTTATATATATATAAAACATACGCCACGTACATCATCCTTCCCCCATGTTATGAGACTACGACGCGGTTGGTGATGTAGGGTGACAGCATGTATCTCTTTGATTTTTGACGCAAAGTTCCTCATTGCAAGACGCTGAGACTTTGTAACACGACAGAGAATGACCCTTGGCAGGGTATTTTGGGGTCAATCTAGGCAACATATTGACTCTGACGACCACGGAGAGATCGCCAAAGCTTCGAAAGTGCCAAGCTGTAGTCAGTCACTGAGAAGTAGGGCCGAAGGATAAAGTTGTTTGAGGACGAATTATTATTGCTAGCTGGCGCTATGGAAACCATTGCTGCGCGCGCAGTGCGTGCAGGTTGTTGTGGTTTGATGGAGGAAGGATTGAAAGAGGAATTGGAAGGAGGGAGATTTTTCGCTGGTAAAAATAGGGTGCGCAACAGCCCCACATATACCGCCGTACTGGGCTTGGATGCGGCTGGGTGTCAAAACACCACGAGCCTCTACATGATATTAACCATTCGAGTAGTATTGACTTTATTCCTGCAAGTACGCAAGAGTGGGGTATCAAATACGTAAAAAAAAAAAAAAAAAAAGATAAAAAGAAAGAACCGAAAATAAAAGAACAGCAAAAGAAATCAATAACAATACGCATCACTCATAGCCGTCCCATCAGATACATCATGGTACTTCCGACGAAAAGCATCCCCCTCAGGGCATAGTAATACCAACCCGTGCAATGGGAGAAGTTGATCCGCTCATGTGACTGCTTGAGAGTCCTTTGTGCCCTCGGCAACGCCAACTTGTCATACGCAATCAACGCCTCCTCCATGGACTGACTACGGCAAATTTGACGCGCAAGATCAACGCCATCTTTCAAGGCCATGTTTGCCCCGTTACCAGCGAATGGGCTGACGGCATGATTCGTGTCACCCAGGAACACGACACCCTTCAAGTTGTCATCGCCTGCATGGGGGAAGGGCTTCTTATCTCGGGCAGGGAACATGAATGACGAGTGTTGCTCCGTGGCGTTCACAATGGTCTGGAAGGGCTCTTGGAGCATGTGCCCTCTCCTCAGGGCCTCCTCCTTGAGAGCCTCGCATTGTTGGCGTGATTCCGGATCGTACTTTTGTGTTCGTTGGGGTTCCAGGAATCCCAGACCCCAGACGACGCCTGTAGCATCAACGGGCGAGAAGAAACACCCAACTCCTTCGCCGGTGATGGCCAAGCCCCAGTTCTTGGTGACGGGTTCGGGGACACCGTTGGGAAACCTGCTCACGCCGCCCATTTGAATGGCGCCTGCGTACTCTAGACTATCGTTTGGCCTGAAGGAAGAGCGAATCTTGCTGTGTGCCCCGTCCGCAGCAATGAGTAAGTCACAGTCATCCGTGAAGGACTTGCCTTCCTTATCAGACGGGGATATGTGAACTCGCATTTGCCCATTGGATAGCCTCTCGGCAGAGGTAACCGTCGTACTCCAGGTAATGGGGCACAGCCTCTCGGCAGCAGAGACACAAAGGTCCCTTATGTCGTTGCGCATGATACGAATGCCTGAAGCAGGTAAATCTTTGTAGGGAGAGAACTTGACAGCGAGCAATTGAGCCCAGCTACTCGACCATATGCGAAACCCCGAGGTGCTGTTATTTCCAGAAATGGCACGCTTCATCATTTCATCGAGAAGACCAATGTCTCGGGCCGCCACGAGGCCACCGTTCTCGTCGAAGCCATGGAGAGAGAGGGAATACCCTTGTCTGTTGCGGGGAAGATGACGGCCTTCACGTTCGTAGATTGTGATTTGGGGTAGTTTGAGGGCAGGATCCCAGCTTTGGTGGAGGGCGACGACGAAGGAGAGGCCAGCGAAACCAGCGCCTGAGACGATTATTTTTTTGCCTTCCGAGAAGTGGCTTGGCATTTTAGGGCGGCTGAACGTGACTGTGATTGAAAGGAAAAATCGTAGGTGCTTTTTTTGGTGGCAAGTTGTAGAAAACCCGGGTAGATAGTGTTGATGAAGACAAGAGTGTTGGCTTTATGGGATGATGGCCTTTTAGTTAAGCAGTCTTGTGAGACGACTTAACTGCTAGTACGGAGTATTTATACTGATATATGTCGTATCGTGAACATCTAGAGCCGGTTAACGATCCCCGCGACACAAGAGTCAATAGCACACAACTCGGTATTCCCACAGCTCTTCATTGTTGATTCGACGACGGTATCAGCCCTGCCGGCAAAGCTCCCGAGAGGATCGTGCTGAGCCAATCACGGCTGCGACATCGTAAAGCGCTTGCGCATGCTGGCGTCACACGTGTATGTCTGACGCAGCTTGGCGTTTTCGGACTGCGACGAAGGGGGAGGGCCGGACGTCCTTGACTGCAAGATCATAGTAATGAATAAATTCTTTTTGTTGATCAAAGATGCTTCTTCTTCCTCCCCCCTTGGAATCGAGCATGAAAGCCAAAAACTTCTAGCCACGGTCATGGGACCAGACAATGTTTCGGGATCGGCCGAAACATATTCCTGTCCGGCGACAGGTGTCGATGCCATAATGACGGGACGACATGTGCTGCGTTATCGGGCGCCCGTTGATTGTTCCCATATTGGCATGTTGTCAACAAAGGGTCTTTGGCAATATAGCCATTGCAAGGCTTAAACGGCCTTGTTCCGGCGGGATCAGGGATCCATCAATGAATGACCAGATGCCAGATGCCACAATCAAGTGGTAGTAGTACTAGTACTAGTACGGAGTACCAGGCACCAGACCACGATAGGTGGCCCCGCACGGCAGTTGGCCCAGCGCCACATGCGTTGAACGCGGTCCCCCAGGGCCTTGACCCGCCCGCCGTGACGACACAGTGTCTTGAGACTTTAGTGCTACCTCGACCAGGAGGACCCATCAAATTCGAATGTTCTTTCACGCCACCATCTGCTTCGCATCGTGAAGCTCGTCAACCAACTCTCGCTCGTTGTCCGCAGCTGCCGCCGCCATGTCTGTCACTTGGGATTCGTAAGCCCTCCCCTCGAAACAAGACGAAAACACCTCCCAAGCAGGCTTATTTGCCGCTCAACTAACGACGCCATGTAGCATCCGCTCCCTCCTTCTCTTCTTCGGGCCTATGCTCCTCCCAAAGGCCATATCATGGTATCGCTCGATCCGCACCTCGCCCCATGGTCTCCCCATCCAACCCACGCCTCCGCGAGTCCGCCTGGCCCTCGGCCTGCTCTTCGCCCTCTCAGCAATCTACCTCGTCAAGACCCTGCCCGCCTTTGCGCCCGAGAACCTCTTCACCCGCACGCAAAGCCGCCTCCAGATCCCCGTCGACGTGCTCTTCAACCGTGTGGCCGTCCTCCGCCCGGGCAACGTCCTCACCGCCAGCGACCACGCCCTGCGAGCCAAGTTTGTCAACATGGAAAGCCGCCTGTTGTACGCCCAGTTCGGCCCGCAAGTCCTCTCCGACTGCCCGTTTTGCAACGCCGACGAACCAAAGAGCTACCTGTACTATGCTCTGCCGTCCCTCCTCTGGCCGCACCTGGCAAACCTGATTGCCCTGGCGGCCATTACGAGCCCTTCCTTCACGGGCAAGCACGGCTACCAATGGCGCACGCTGGCAACCATCGCGTCGCTCACCTTGGCCGGACTGGAAGCCTACATTGCCGGCTCGTACAGCTACAAGGCCAACGCAAAAGCTCCGCGCCTCTCCGATGTGGATTTCTTCTACTGGTCCATGCGAAGCTACAGACTCGTCGCGCTGGCCGCTCTTGACGCCGTTTTGGGGTGGGTCATGTACTTGTCCTCGACGAACCGGGCTTTTGTGCAGCTGCCCTCTACGTCGGAGAGGGTTGAGGATGTTGCAAAGGGTCTGTTGACGGTAAAGAGCAAACTGAACGCTATCGGAATCATCAACAACACCGCCATGAGGGACGAGGAGCTGCGAAGCAGGTGTCAGACTTACTGGGCCCACGAGGTGCGCCTGATGAGGGACGTGATGGAGGAGAGGGAGGTGGTGGAGGGCGTGAATGATGCTTTGAGTAACAGGATCAACATCGACTCCATTTCCAAGGACGCCGAGACGTATACAGATAGTGTCTTGGAGCCGTTGCGGCAGCTGCAGCAGAATGAGTAGGGGTTTGTCGTACATTGGATAGACAGGAATAGATGCACATGTTTTTACTCTCACCATGTTTGATATGAGGATTCGCATGTACAAGTAGGATGTATTTTTGTATTTCCACCCCCCCCAATAAAAACGAGATGCACGACTGCCATGCATTACTACCATCGTACGTCTACAGAAACTCCAAAAAGATCCCCATTCCCCATGTTTCAACATTGCGCTGCACGCAGACAGACACCCAGCTACTGCGGCACCCGTTTTTACAACCCGTCTTCACATCAGACGTATCACGGCCCGGACTCGGGTTTGGCCACCGCTGTGCCTGTCGTCGTACTACTAACACTTGCCTTGCGGGAGCCAGAGTCCTTTGACAATCCATCACCTGCACCCTCCTGCGCACTCCTCTCCAAGAAATTTGCCCACAACTCCGCAAGAGACTCCCTGTCCTTGGCCGACGTAGGTTCCGAAAAGACATCCGCGTTGAGTGAAGGCGAACTGGGTGTTCTGTGGAAAGGGGATGTAGGCAGTCGCAAGCTGCCAACTGAGCCGCCGGGACGAGCGAGGCCTGCTTGCTCGCGCTGTTCGTCGGTCCAGTTCAAATAGCCGGCCATCACCTGAAGGACTTGGAAGCGCTTGGCGTCGCCGCGGTCGAGGGTGAGGAAGTGCAGGAGGTGGTTTGTCACGACTTGTCTACACATGCAAGGTTAGTGACCGCATCTCATAATGGGGGGTATAATGTGCAGGGGGGAGCGCAACGCACCTGTCGACATTATCCTCTGGCTTGGTTTTCTTCAAATATCGCAGCGCCTTTGTCAAGTGATCGTTCAGTACAATAGCCTCGTGCCTCAACTTGCCAATGAGCAAATTTTTCTCCCTGACCTCCTTCTCAAATGGCGCCGTTCGTTCAAGTTCCTTTGACATTTCGTCTTTGGCCGCCTCGGCTTCCGTAGCCCGCGCCTCAGCCTGTTGGGCCACTAGTTTCTGCGCTTGCAGCTGTGACTCCGTTGTCTCAACCATATCCCGCAGCTCCTTCTTGCGGGCGTCTTGGATCTCTCGCAGGGCATTTTGCAGGTTATCCACGAGAGTGGCTTGGCCATCGCGGTCCGCGGCAGCGGTCTCGTAATTTTTCTTCAGCGTCTGGATCTGCTCCTCAAGATCACCGACTTTATCCGCTAGGTTCTCTTTAATAGAGCGCTCTTCCATGGCCAACACCTCCCATTCGCCCATGGCATTCGCTGTCGTCTCCATTTCCTCCTTGAGGTGCTGCACTGTCCTGGTCAGCTCCTCCTTCTCCTTGTGCCAATTGTGAGCTGAGAGATTGTTGCGGCTTCGCAGCGTGGACAGCTCTCTATTGGCGTCTTGGAGTTCTTGTTTGAGTTTCTCGACATCTTCGCCCGTGGACTGTGCGGAACCCTGCAGCTGCTCGTTTTGCGCCTCTAGCTCTTCTATTCGTTCCCTGGCTTCTTCTAGCTCGGCCTTGTCGCGTTTTAGCCTGCCGCTGAGCGATTCTTTGATCTTCTCAACTCGGTCGAGGAGGGTCTGGTACTGCTCTTCGGCGTGCTCCTTGGCCGAGTTGCTCTCTTCGAGGTCCGTTTTGAGTTGCGAGACTTCCTGTTGGTGCGTCTCCTGAATACTCTCCAGTTGTTTGCGAAGCTGTTCCACCTCAGCCCGGAGCGCCTCCCGTTCTTTCCCCATTGCTTCGAGTTTCGCAGTCGGGTCTGAGTCGGAAGTCCCATCGGTGGCCTTTGATGGTTCTACGGCGTGCCCATTACCCTCCGGCTTGAGCTTGTCCGTGCTCGCTGCAGTGTCCTGAAGGCCTCGTTAGTAAACATGACAAGCCGATTTATGCATCCGCACACTTGATATTATAGAGTGCGGCGTCTGCTACGTACCAGGTCATCGTCGTCTTCATCGTTGTCATTTTGTACGTCCTCGTGGGTCGCATCGCCGTTACTTAGAGGCGTGGTATCCTTGTTCTTGTTGGCATTCTTCTTCTTTCTGTTGTTCTTCTTCTTGGAAGCTGTAGACCCCACGGTAGTGGTTAGAACACGATTGCCGATTGACGGAGGCCCAAGAGGACAGGTTACAAACCAGAATTGATGGCCTGGGTGGGCTCACCAGCAGCTGTTGACGACATTGTAGCCGCAAGGCGCAGCAGTGAAGCGGCCCGTGTGTGCGTGCTGGTGTATTGAGCCCACGAGTCGTGGTGACGAGGGCAATGTCGGGTCGAGTCCGGCGTCGTCAGTTGTCGATTGACATGACGAGGCGCAATATTGAAACGCAGTCGGAACCTTACAGAGGCAACACGTTGACCTTGAAGAAACAATAGCGGGTATGGAATGTGGCATTAGCGGGTCGCGGGGGCTTCCGCCAGTCAACTTTGAGCCGGTTAGTGGCGGACCAATTGCTTTTGCGCAGAGGAACGTCGCTAACTTACCGAGTACATGTACAAAACATCAATTGATTTCATTCAACCACCCAGTGCCCTGTGCTGTCAACTCACATGCATGGCCCGGCGGAACAGATGAAGCGACTGGAGCTCCTGAGCAAGCACTGAGCAGTTTACATTACAGTGTAGGACTGTGTAGGACAGTGACGGACACGACCATTTTTAAAAAAAAGGAAAAAAAATCGAAATAAACGTTTTATTCAAGCATGTGAAGCAAACCTCGCCACTGATTATCGCAATGCCAAACGACGCATCTCGATTCCAATACTAGTCGTCGCATCGTATTCATGTCTTGCCATTTGCTTTCTTATACGAGATGCATGCCAAGCCACGCCTCAAACCCCATATAGACACTTGCGTAATAGGCGCACAAGACGAGCCCGGTTTGTCTGCAGATGTCTCTACTGGCCACGGGAGACTGGCTCAACTCATATAAACACATTCGTTTCAATGTGACTCACCATTTAATCTTATCTCACGACTTGTCATTTGATGCCTACATCGTCTTCCGTTTTTTTATCTACTTTGTTTGTTTCAAGCATTGGCGCCAAGCGGTGCTTGAAATATGCTTAGTCACCTACATCGTGGGGCCATGGCTAGTAGTATTTACGTTTCCCTGCACCAGGTGGACCTTGAAACTTCTTATTTTTCTTCCCCATCTTACAATCATCTTCGCCGTCATACTAATGAATAAGACCATATGCATGTGGCTTCTTCACAATCTCGCGCGAAGTAGATCGTCTCGCCTTTCATAATCCCATTGCTTACTCGACTTTCCCCTTTCTTCGGAACAGCGGGTAGCGTCCTTGTGAGTGCCGTGGGTTCGCTTATGTGCGTACATCTCGCCATCCACGACCATTCGTAACGTCTCATGGTGAACACGGTGCTACCTACACTTGTAGAGGAACAAAACCTAGTCAGATACGCGCCACGTAGGGTTTGACCGATTGAATACGATCAAATGACTTGAGCTCAATGAAAGGACTTGATTGGATCGACAAAAAATTTAAGACATTACTACCTGATGCGCCGTTGCCAAAACGTATATATCCACATCACAAGACTTTATAAACCCTTACTTAGATGAGGCCTTGACCTTCTTTGCCTTGCCTTTAGTACCCTTGCCGGCCTTGGCTTTGGGCGTGGGTATCGACTCAGGCTCGGCAGCAGATCCTTTTGCTTTGGGCGTCTTTGTTGCCTTGGTCTCTTCTTCGGCAGGTTCCTCCACAGGAGCAGCTTCTATAGTCTTGGGTTCCTCCACATTATTTTCTGCGGCTTGCGGAGGCGGCACATCTTTGAGATCTGGAGCGTCGAACTCGTATCCCATATGCTTAAACTTGGCAGCCCTCTTGGCTCGCTTATCCTTCTCCTTGTCCAATTTGTTCTTCCAGGCAGACTCGGCCAATGGCTTCTGCAGATTCAGGCCGGCCATCTTGTTCCAAGGAACCTTTTTGAACCGTCTGTTAGCTCCCTTGAACAAATCCTCGTGGACCTGTTGCTTGGGGATCGTCTTGCACTTGAGAATGTGCCCAAATAGCAGGTAATTGTCCATAGTCTTGGCAACAATCTCAGCAGTGGTCGCTTCCTCAAACTCGACAAAGGCAAAGTGCTTGCTGGCACCGGTCTTCTTGTTTCTCGATAAGCGAAGGCGCGTGACGGGCCCGAACTGGGAGAGGTATTGTCTCATTTCGTGCTCGTAGAAACCGTGGGGAATTCGACCGATGTACAGAACGCCCGGTTCACCAGTAGCCTTCTTGGCTGCCTTTGCAAGCTCCTTGGTGATAGGCGGAATCTTGCCGACGTCTTGGCCAGGTTTGAAGGACAGGGTCTTGTCGACCGGTGCTTCGTCACCCGAGTCGATCTCGGCAGCCAGAGTCTTCACATTCTCATTGTCCTCACCCTCTGAGTCGTCGGAGTCATCCATCTCCAAGACATCATCTTTTTCCTCGACCTCCTTTGCTGCCGTTTCAGGTTTGGGTTCTTTTGGTGATTTCGCAACAGGCTTTTCAGGTGCTGCAGCCTTTTTAGAAGGCTTCTGCTTCTTTAATGAAACTGGAGAGGCATCACCGGCGGCTGCGATGGTTAGCTAATTGATTACAAAATTGAAGGATGCTGGATATCGCATTACCTTTTCTCTTGCCCTTGGGAGCAGGCTTATCCGACGTCTTGGTGGTGACGCCGTTGCTCTTCTGAACTTCGGAAACAGCTGTACACGGTCAATTAGCAGCGATAAATGAACATATTTACTTATGTAAACATACATTTTCTCTTTCTAAGTTCTGGAGCCATTGCGACGACTTGGACTTTACAGCCTGGTTGGTGAGTGCTGGCAGGCGTTGGGAATGATCGACGTGGGCCAGAAAAAAATAAGATTCTGCCAGTTTTGCGAGCGGTGAAGGCGCATTATCACTCTATCACTCTAACCAAAGCCCCAATGGGTGCAGCTGGTGGTGGGGGCCTCGCACTGCCTACAGGTCGTCCATATATACTTAGTTGGGCCTGGCTGGTTCAGGGCCTGGCAAATGCTGGTTGAAGTCTGGTCGCTCCTTCCCATCAACACTTCGAAACATATTGCTGCTGCACCAGATGCTCCCGTAATCGATATATCAGCCTTTAGTCCATTCGAGTTCAACCACTTAACTTTGTGAAGCTATATTTAGCACTGAAGAGCCTTGAATGCACACCATCGACTCATCGAGCGAGTCTAGTGATATACTAACTGAGCTTAGCTGTGCATATGTTCGTGTTTCCTACTGCATTTAGTGCAAAGCTCCGTCTTGGCTGCCTGGTCACCAAGGACCAAGATATCTGACAAGCCCAGAAAACGCGTCGTCGCTCAATACTATCCTGCTTGCATAATGGGCATGGAGCAGGTTGAGCTTAGTCATGAGGAGGTATGGGATGACACTGCGCTCATAGACTCGTGGAACGAGGCTTTGGCAGAGTATAAGGTATGAATTATATCTCCTCATCAAGTACAACCAACCACTAATACCAGCTGTGCTCAGAAATATCACAGTGTACACGCAAAGGGAGGAAGCATTAGAGACCTAGAATCCAAAATCTCCCAGTAAGTGAATAGATGAACGGAGCCAGCCTACGATGCCTCTATCATCACCGCATTAACTGACATCTGTGGTAGGCGCGCTCCAGAATCCGAACCAAACAAACAAGCCAATAGTCCCGAACCTGTCTCTTCTACCGGCAACGAAGATCCGGACGCCATTGTAAGAGCCTTGAACTACGGGTTTGACGGCGTCAATCATGGGCGATCCGTTGTGCACCGTTGAATAGTTTCTTGTTTCATCCAACGCTGCTGACATCAAGACAGATCTCAAATTCCGACCAAGCCCAGTCATCACAAAAAGGTGCAACGGCAGCTGCCTCGGCTGCGCCGCCGCCGCAAGCTCTCCTTGGCTCATGTAAGTTGGCAGCTACCTATAGGGCCATCAAGTTTGACTTGGATCTGGCAAAGAATTCGGACGATCTGTGCTAACCAAATCTCTCCCCGCGAAAATAGTACGAGACGACAATCTGAAGAGGCTGCTCATGTCGTGGTATTACGCAGGGTATTACACCGGGCTCTTTGAAGGGCAACAGCATGGCCAACAAGGGGAGCAAAAACCACAGTCTTGACAAGTAATAGACGTATTGTTATCCGAAGACCCGAGAGGAAGCTGGGCAGGCCAAGGAGGGCGGGTGTCGCACAGTGGAGTTCTTGCGACGACAGCCGTTCCAAACCCTGGCGGCTGGAACATGTTCACTGCAACTCCCGTTGCCCCGCGCGTCAGAACTAGACCGAGTCGCCCAATCGTAGGGCTCCAGCTGTTGTTGTGTCGTGGGAACTTTGAAACTCGACAAAAGTTGAAGATTTGGGATGAAAATTTGAAGTCTAGGTCGAGGTAGATTGCCAACGGGTTAATTTACTTGACGCGAAGATGTCCAGGATTGTAAGAATCAGAGGGTATTGGCAAATTAAAGACATCTTCTGGCCGTTGCGATTCAAGCCATCTATGTAAAACCCAGTTTGTGTTTGGCGTTGAGTAGGATGTATTTGATAGTCTGAATCGAGTACAAAACCGATTTACTATGCCAAGGGCGTGGAAAATGTGGCTGATGGTTGCTGTGCCTGGGCAAGGTCAGGATCCAGGAAACTGACTTGGTTGGGAGTTGATGCAGAGTCTTTCTGCCTACTTCTTCATGCCATGATCTAAACAAAACACCTCCCGAAGCGGAAATGGGATTGAAATAATGTAATGCCCAAGGCAAAATTCTGACGAAATATAGCAAACCACCTGTTCGTCCAGTTAGTCAATGGTGCGTTCCGGTGTTTCACGACATGAGCACAGCCCATTCTTGCTTGGCCGCGTAGCCTACCGGGTTTCCGAGCTGCGCAACATCTTACTTGGCAACAATGGCAAAACATCTAGTGTCATTGGCGATGACAAACTAACGTTCTAAAATCGGCAGCTTAGCCCGTCGTCGCATCCAGTGAGTGGCGTTGACGAGTCTGGAGTCTGGACACCTGATGAGGGCAAGAATCCGCCCAGGAGCGAGCCTCCGTTTCATCACCACGTTGGCGGTTTGAGGCTGAGGACGGGGCTGGATAGCCAGACAGGACGATGCAGCTTTGAATAATGGCACCAGAGGAATGACAAGCTGGTGGCCTGCGGAGGGACAAGGTTGCGGATTGACTGAAGGGGCTTGCTAGGCAGAACGGTGTAAGTGCTTGTTGCCTCCACGCATCCATGCTGTAGAACAAATGAAGACGCGGCGGGATAAGTGCTTTGACATCGATTGATATCTGGCGGGACAGAATGGCTACATGTAGCAAATAACCTTGGAACCCCAAGTACCTAAAGTAGTAACTAGTATGTACAGAGTATAGGATCAAAGACTTGGCATGCCGTCCCGTCTGGTTGGTTGACAGCAAAGGCCAAGGCCCAAAGAAACCTGGAAAGCAACGTTCCGTGAGATGGAGATGCCGGGACCCGAGAATCAGGGCCATGGCATCCTTTTATTCAATGCGAATTTGTTTCCAAAAAACTGAAAGAGATGCCACCGTCTAAGTACTATCTTCTCTGCTGCGGCTGCCGATGATGTATTCTTCGGCTCGCCAGACCCTCGTCAAGACTCGAGCCCGCGGCCCAAACAGGCAAGGCCAGGGACGCCATCACCTCACAAGTCGATTCCAAAACGGCACTCGAGACAAATCTGTCACACCTACACATTCGTTCCTCCGCGCTCGCCACTCATCACTCTGGCACCCTCTGCCCTCTGATCGGATGCGCTAGACCCCGAGCTTTTGCACCCCACAGCAAGGCTGGGCGTGGGCGGCATGAGGCCAAGCCGTCGACTTCCATCTCGTGTCTGGCGTTTTGAGCCCGGGTCCTGGCCATTCTGAGTCCTGACATAGGCACCAAGGACTGTGGATTGCCTCGCCCATGATGAGTTGCGTCAGGAGGTTCCGCAGCCTCCTAGTCTAAAACATAGGACGACCAGGGGGTGTGTTGGGAGACAATTATGCTGGATATAACATGTCTCGAGTTCCCATGCGTTGCCGACGTTTCCCTCTTTTACTCTGCAGTTTCCGCGTTTCGCTCTTTTATTGAAGGTCTCCTTCTTTTGGTGTTGGGCCAGCATCGTCTCTCATTTTTCTTCATTCTTAATTTCGATTGACCCTTTCTATTACCAACTAGGAGCAGGTCCTCTTACTTACTTTTTTCAACCATTTGTCCTTTGATAGGACTCGAGAGAATTACGAGAGAAGCTCACGAGCCCAAACATCCAGCCCTTTCACATCTGCGAATTTTTTGGTACAATTTAAATAATTACACATACGTCAACAAAATGAAGTACTCAACGACCATCTTCACGGCACTGGCTCCTTTGGCCATGGCCCGACGAGTTGCCAATGTCTTCCCCCCGTCACCTGGAATCGTTGAACGAAATGCCGAGACTGAATCCAGCGAGAGTGGCATCCAAGTCTCCCGGGGCAAGCAGGTAGAAGCTATCACTGCCAACTCCCGCGCCGAGGTGATTGTCATCTGGCTCAACCCAGGCAACGGCGCTTCCAAAACATCCATCAACGAGCAAGTCACTGTCACCAGGACGGTTACCGCTGGCGCTGGCGGCGAAGCAACCCAGGCTCCTGGAGGAAGTGCCACCGCTTCTGCCCCTGGCACGGGAGCCACCCACACTATCAAGGTTGGCGGCGAGAACGGCCTCGCTTTTAGTCCGCAAGAGCTTCGGGATGTGCCTATGGGTGATATGCTTCTTTTCGAGTTCGGGTCCCAGAACCACACGGTCACTCAAGCCGAGTTCGCTACCCCTTGCCAGCCCATGGCTGGTGGTATGGACTCTGGCTTCCTTGCCAACCCTAACAATACCGTTTCACCACCGCCTCAGGTTGCTATGCAAGTCATGACAGACAAGCCTCTCTGTAAGTCAAGACACAATCTCCCGTTCGTAATATACTTCTGCGGAACCTGAGAAAACTAACATCACCTAGGGTTTTTCTGCGCACAAAAGGGCCACTGTGGCAAGGGCATGGTCTTGTCCATCAACCCTACTGCCGAAAAGACGCATGCCATGTTCCAAGGGATGGCCATTGCTCAGAACGGTGCCGGCTCAGCTACTCCCATCACCGGCGGACAGCAGGGCAGCACTCCTCCTCCCCCCTCTGCTCCCGGCGGCGTTGGCGGCAACTCCACCGGGGGCGCTGGCGGTGCTGGCGGCTCTGGCAGCTCTGGCGGCAACTCTGGCGTCACCCCTGGCAAGGCGACTATGGGTGCTGATGGATCCTACCACTGTGTTGTTACTTGCAACAGTGGTTCATTCCCTGATGTTTCCCAAGGCGTTGGCGCATTTGGCGGAATGAGTGGTTAGTTGAGAGACCCCTCCCCCCCTTAGCCCTTGAAGAGTCTATGATTGCTGACTGTAATCACCAGGCGCTCTTCCCGTCTAGTGGGCTCGATGGGATGTATCTGCGTACATCTGCGGGATCTCCACGTCGTCGGGTAGCACTCTGGCTCATGAATCAATACAAATAAAGTATTCAACAACACGCCCGGCTGCTTTGAACCCCCTGCGTCGTTGGAAATAATGGGGAAGAGCATATGTTAGCAAAATACACATGGCCGGTTCGTGTTTTTTTTTTCGGAAGAGGCGAAGGCAGATATAATGGGAAGCGATGCTTGGGGCCTCCACTGACCCTTTTTTGAGTACAAGTTCAACTGCCTCATGTGGGGAAGTGCAACGTTCTTGATGAACAAAGGTAGAGATGGATTTTAGGATAGAGAACCATGTGTGCCATACCATTTTTTTATACATTTTTTTCCCTTTTCTCTTTTCAATGCCAAGCTGTGCAGGTACCGCAGGTTGGAAAGGGTTCGTCATCGTGTGACTTGACCAAGAAGGAGCGGCCTTGAGGCGGAATCAGACGGTAGACCAAGCTCGTAATTGTGCATCTGAGGAAATGAAAAGCACATGAAACGCCATTAGGACATTGACAGCGGAAAGGCCAGTTTATTAAGTGCCTAACATAAGAGATCCCAAAGCGCCAACATCAAAAAGTCATACGCCCTTATTCGCCATTGCTATCCTAGAATGAGCTGCCCTCCCGATCTGTGTACGCCGTAGATGTCTGGCCGTCGAGTCATTGTATTCGTGTCGCCTTTCGTACGTCTGGACAACGGGAGTCGACGGTGGTGAGTGTTTCGACCAAGGATCGTCGTTTTATTTCTTGCCACCGGCTTCGGCCTTTTTGGCCTCGGCTGAACCACAACCAAACTGTCAGCATTTCCTCCTCCCCGAAAAAAAAAAAAAATCAAAAATTCCTACACAACCAGGGAAGACGGAGAAATCTGGAGAACGATGTGACGCGGGGGTGGAGGGGTCGTACCAGCCGCCTGCTTCTGGCGCATAATCTCAGCAGCACTCTCCTTGGCTCGTTGCATCTCGGTGCCGGTCATGGTGTTGCCTTTCTTCTGCAGCAGCCCAGCTGTCAGCGTTCAGACTTGAGGGTGTATGTAATGCGAAGGGCGGCTGAGAAGGCGCGTCCAAGGCCCAGTGGTAGCCTCGTGGCCGGGCAAAGGTAGACGTACCTGAGCGGCCTGTTTCTTCAGGTTGGCTTCGCGGGCCTTGTCGCGCTGATTCCCACGGGCCATGGCTGGTGTTGTGCCTCTTGCTGTTCCTTTTTTTTTTCTTCCCCTCGTCGCAAAGCGCGGGATGCCTGGATGGAGCTAGTCGGAAGCGGACGGGCGGGATAGCAAAAACGTGGAGGAAGGAATGAGCGGTCGGGCGAGGGTGGAAAGTAGGAGGGAGATAAGAGGGTCGTTGGATGGCGGGGAGGATGCACTGTATCTACCTGGTAGAGTGTAGGTGGCCGGCCGGTACGCACTTGAGGGTTCTCGGCCAGAAAAGGGAGCCAATCAGGCGTTGTGGGTCGCTGTCGAGATCAGTTCAGTTGACTGTCGTGCCAGCTTCAGGCACAGAGAGACGGCACGGTGTGGTTACGCGCCGTCAGCGCTTCGATGAGGCCTGAGCAGCGGCGGCCGGGTGGAACAGTGAAGCGCGGAGAAGAATAATCTTTCTATTTTTAAATCCCTTTCCTTCCCTTTCCCTCCGATGTCCTTTTTGTCC